TCCTGAGCCACCCCCTCCCAGTCGGGGCCACGCCCTGCGGCAGGTGGGAGGACAATGCGGCCTGTGTGCTGATCCCCAGACACGAGGGCTCAAGGGGAGGGCCGCGGCCTGGCCTGTCCAGCCTCGGCCTCTCCGAGTAGCTCTCTCCCTCCCCGCTGGCCTCTGCTATCTGCCGTCTCCACCCAGCCAGCCTCCTCCAGGTCCCGGACGTCACCAAGGTGAGCAGTGTCCTGTCCCCCTGCCTGCCCAAGTCAGCCCAGGGAGCAGCCCATCACTGAGATCGGGACCTGGCAGCGGGGACTGTGAGAAGAATCTGAAAAATACAGCGTGGCAAGGCTTGAACCCAGGGCTGTTCAAGTGCAGGTTGCCAGCCAGGAGCACCAGCCCTTACCTGGTTGGGCTCCAAGCCACCCCCCCACTAAATGTGGGGACAGCCTGGTGGGGTGGCCCAAGCCCCCGGCAGAAGGCTCATCAGTACCACACGCCTCCCCCAACCTCCATGCCCCTTTACCTCCAGGCTTAAGGAAGCAGCAGTGGCCCCTTGTCCCCAGAGGGCTGCAGGCCTGAAGGCTGGTCAGCCCCACAACCCCCAGCAGCTCCTCAGGGCCTTGGGCACCTGGGACGAGAGGCCAAGTCACTGAGCTCTGGGCCCGCCATGGACTCCGAGTACGAGATGGGCCACATCCGCAAGCTGCAGGCCCAGCACGTGCGGATGCAGGAGAAGACTTTCACCAACTGGATCAATAATGTCTTCCAGCATGGCCGGGTGAGTGCAGCCAGGTGCACAGCGCCCACCTGACCCCGTCCCCTACAGCTCTGGCCGGGAGACCTGGGGGCCGTGAGGTCCTCTGCCCAGGCCATGCTCTGCCCTCTGCAGGACAGAGACTGCGCTCTTTCCTCGGGGCTGCACATGCCGCGTGTCAGGGCACGGTGGGCAGGCGCGGGCCGGCTGACCCTGTCCCTCCCCCACTCCTCCCCAGGTGGGCATCAGGATCAAGAACCTGTTCACGGAGCTGGCCGATGGCACCCACCTACTCCGGCTGCTGGAGCTCATCTCAGGGGAGGCACTGCCACCCCCCAGCCGGGGCCGCATGCGCGTGCACTTGCTGGAAAACAACAGCCACGCCCTGGCCTTCCTCAGAGCTAAGGTGGGCTGCGGGGAAAGGGCTTCCTTGCTGGCGGTGTGGGGGAGAGGGGTGCTGAGGCAGACAGCTGGGTTACTAGGTCACTGTGGCTGGGCTGGGCCAGTGGGTCTAGGGCCTGAACAAGGGAGGAGCAGCTGGGGTACTGAGGTAGGAAGCAAAGTCGCCCAACACACACGCAGCGCTCCTGGGAAAGCGCCCGGCTGGCTGGCTGCTGAAGCAGGAGCAATCAACCTCCCCACGGGACTGAAATGTCTGTAACGGGACAAAGTCGTGGGGTTCTAAGCAGGAAGAATCTTGGTGTTTTCTTAACTTGTTCATTTCAGAAATAAGGAAATGTAGGCCCACAA